TGTGCTGTTTTTGAAAACTGCTACGAGAATCATTTTGTGAAATCACATATTTCCCATCAACCCTGAAATAATGACATTGTTTTTTTAAAAAAGTAAATAATACTGTTGCAAAAATGCTGAAGACCAAATAGTAAGTCTTCAGGAAATCTGGATGATATATCCCCCCTCCCCCCAAGCTTGTCACATTTATTCTCTTAGGGAGCTTCCACGTAGCCATACAACCCAGCGCCCTTCCACACAGCCCAATATCCCAGAATATAAAGGCAGAAAATCCCACAATATCTGCTTTGAATTGGGTTATCTGAGTCCACACTCAGATAATGTGGGATTTTCTGCCTTGATATTCTGGGATATAGGGCTGTGTGGAAGGACCCCCAGAATATCAAGGCAGATTATCTGCTATAAACTGGGTTTTCTGAATCCACACCGCCATATATCCCAGTTCAAAGCAGAAAATGTAGGATTTTATTCAGCTGTGTGGAAGGGGCCTTAATTTTTCAGATATAAGCTACCTCCTCCTTCTCCTTCTAAAAGCAAACCATGAAGAAGTCCTTATACCATTTATAATTTGATTCTATCTATTTCCACCAGAGTCTCTGCTATGGCACTAAAATGCTATGCTAATACATCAGTCATAATGGGAAGCCTTAGAATTGGACTGTTAGTGTATATTTCTTAAGGTAATAAAGTGATAGTGTAACATCTGATTCTTACTAAATCAGTCCTAGCTTTTCTTTTAAAAAGTACTGTTTTCCAAAATACACATATAAATAATTAGAATAAGCATATTAATATACGTTCTAAACACACGAATAATATACTGGTTACTTAATACTGATATTTTCATCCAAAGGAAAACAACAACAAAAACAACAATATGGCTTAAAGAATTGCAAGGTTTTTTCTTCTTCTTGACAGAATTATGTACCAACTTTCATATAATATTCTATGTAGACAATATTTCCTTCTTAATGTAGTTCTGTTGCATACTTTATACAGACAAAAGATTGTAAAAAAACAAAAAAAAACAAAAGAAAAAAGCAAATTCCTTCCATAAATATTTTCTTGAGGATACACCCTTATTTTTTTTATATAATTCTTAAGAAAACTCTTAGCTGTTAGTATTCTAGTAGAAAATCAAGGCCCTTTCTGAAAGCTTCAGAGTTGTAAAAACACTTTTATAAAACCAAACAGAAAAAATAGTATTTTTTAAAAAAAGGCCCTTCCAATACGTATATACAAAAAGGTTACTGTAAAGAGTTTCCAGATAACAATTCAGTATTACAAAGAAATATTTGTAATTATTTAAAAAATTTAAACACCTAAACAGATTTTTCCAAAATACACACACAGTATTAAAAAAAATGGAAAGGAACTCTATGTCAAGTATAACTCAAGATAAATACACATCTGCAAGTAAAACTGTAAAATATTTCATAATAGGGGTAAACATTAATAATATCAATTGACTACACCTATTAACTGCACACGATTGTCCCTTTTATATTCATCCTAAGAAAACTCAAACCTTCATTTGTCTAGCTACAATTTGAGTCAGCGTACTGAGTGCTACAGCCATTCAACAATAGTTCCAGATGCAGTGGTTTTTGTAGACATAAAACAGATAGGCACTGAATTCCTGGCTGAGCACAAAATACTGTCTCAAAGAACGGTGTGGCATGGATCACATCCATTACATTTCCGTTAGAACCCAATGTCTGTTTGCTACGATTTTAACAAACTTTACAGGTGCACAACTTAGCACTTGTACTAAGAATCCTGAACAGACTTGAAGAACATATTTGGCACAATTCAGGTGAAATAAACGCTTTCAAGTCCCACTGATATAGGAAACTGGCTCATGCAAGATGCATCAAGACCAACACTATCTATTCTCACTGCCAACATCTCTCTAAGCCAGGCATGGTCAAACTAAGACCCGGGGGACGGATGCCACCCGTCCCCCCCGGGCACTTACCTCAGACCCTCCTCACTTTCCCTGTCCTCTTGGCATAAAGACACGGTGACTCGCTGCGTCCTTATGCCAAAAAGTTGGCGGAGGAATACACACAGCAGCGGAGAGCCTTCTGGAGTGCTCTCAGCCACCACGTGTCTCACCCTCCTCCTGGCATAAGGACGATGCGAGTGGCCCCATCTTTCTGCCAGGAGGAAAGCTCAAGGAAAGCATGTGGAGGCCGAGAGCCCTCCAGAGCACTGTCTCACCCACCTCCTAGCATAATGCCAAGAGGGCAGCCTGAGGATTGGGGGAGGAGGATTGGGGCAGTGTCCCACCTTCCTCCTGGCATAAGGATGAGGCAAGCAGCCCCATCCTTATTCTGGGAGGACAACCTGAGGATGACCCAAGTCCTGATCTGCCCCACCCTATCCCAGGCCCTACCCCTTGTGGGCCCACCCCATACAGCATGTATATGGACCCCCATCACCCAGGCCTGGCCCTCTTGGCTAGACCCACAATGCGGTCCCAAGGCAAAAAACTTTGCCCATGCCTGCTCTAAGCTATTTGGTGATGGGTCATATCTTCACGTGTCCAATTGTCATTGAAACTCAATAGAATTAGAAAATGTTTCACTTTGGCAGGACTATGGATAAAAAATAACTTATTTAATGAAACTTATTTTGAAACAACCTCTATATCCAAAACTCCTTGTTTGAACATCACATTCTGATTTCCGAGACCTTGCAAAAATTAGACTTCAATACAAAAACAGTTTTCACATATGAATAGTAATGGATAAAGCAAGTTCCTGCCTGGGACTCCAGAGCAGGGGAGGAAGACTGTATACTTGCCATTATATGTAATGAATGGCACAAAGAGCTTGTTTGTCATAGGCCCATGTGTTAGAAAGCCATGACAAAAGGTAAAAGATGAAGATCTATGCATTAACTGGTCACATCTGATGGCACAGATATGGATTTCTGAGTATGTACTCGACTGTTTGTGCACAATTGGAGATTATCCCCTAAAATCTTTGTGTCTTCTGAAAAGCCATTCTTCAATATTTGGGGTTCTTCCAAGGGGCTTCCAAAATGCTACAGTGTGAAATCAAAATGGGAGAAAATGTTTTTGTGGATGCTTGGAAGCATTTTTGGACAAGCATAAAGCCTATGTGTTCCTGCATATATGGCTACAGGAAAGACTGCTTCATGCACAGAAAAAAATGTGGGCCCAGCCCTCCTTTTTCACTTTTTCTTCTTTTTCACTGTGCACTGTAGTGCAGAATCAGGACTGCGTATGTAAACTAGATTTTTTAGGAAGATAATGGATTAATTGCTACATGCATCAGTTTGTCAGTAAAATGGGAATTGTCTTACTTAACTCTAATGTTCCCAAGTTAATATGACATCTCTAGAATCTGAGAGATGGCTGCCAACATTTAATAAGTGCTCAAGGAGTAATACTGTAGACGGTTTAATATATGGCTCTATTTTAACTGTGTTTCTTACATTAGTCACTTCCTATCCCTCAAAAATAAAACAAAATTAACATTAAAGTTCAAGTTTTCAAAAGCCGTGACTTGCCTCTCATACCTGATAACATGACCTGTCAACTTATCCAGGGACTATGTATTGCTGAAGGCTTTCATGGCTGGAATCACTGGGTTGTAGGTTTTTTCAGGCTATATGGCCATGTTCTAGAGCAGTGGTTCTCAACCTGGGGTCCCCAGATGTTTTTGGCCTACAACTCCCAGAAATCCCAGCCAGTTTACTAGCTGTTAGGACTTCTGGGTGTTGAAGGCAAAAAAACATCTGGGGACCCCAGGTTGAGAACCACTGTTCTAGATGCATTCTCTCAGAGGATGCTTGCCAGAGATGTAGGTGAAACGTCAGGAGAGAATTAACAGCTGATAAACTGGCTGAGATTTCTGGGAGTTGTAGGCCAAAAACATCTGGGGACCCCAGGTTGAGAACCACTGCTATAGAACATGGCCATAAAGCCCAAAAAGCCCTACAACTATCCAGGTACTATTTTATTTATCTATTTACCTACTTAATTCATTTTAATACTGTCCTTCAGTTTGACTTTTGACTTGATTTTGCCCTGATGGATTTCTTGATCATATAAGCAAAGCTAAGAAAGAAGTTCAAGAGTTGTTTCCTCAGAACAATTGCTCGTGTAAACAGGATCTGCTATTTAAATGGCCCTTTTCTTATTCTGATATAATCAGAATGGAATAAATTCTGACCAGAACAGGATCATTGATATCAATAGGACTAGAATTAGTCAGGAGCCTATTTTAAGAAGGACTACTGGATGTAACCCACTTCAAATGGTCACTGAGTTGCCTATAACTATTACCATGGAAAATTCATCTGAAATTTAAAAATCCATCTTTAAGATTAACAAATTCATTCAAGTTCACATTACTAACACAACATTTGTACATTGATTAATATTACGAGAATTATACCAAAGCCTTAGAGACATTTTTGGCTTGCCAAAGTTGTCAAAAAACAACCATTAGCAAAATCCTAGAGTCTCTAAGACAGTATCTATAGGCCCTGGACTCAGGGGCCTGTCCATACCTCACAATTAGAGCATTATGAGTACACTTTTATTACCATGGTTGCATCCTCTGAGACTGTCAGTTCAGGGAGTGATATTTAGAATTTCCAACCAGAGAGCTGTAGTGTCTCATCAAACTGCAAGCCCCATGATACAGGCAGGGCAGTTAAAACAGAACCATAGTGTTATGAGCTTTAATAACAAATGTGCAAAATGATCTCTTCCAGAGGTCCTGGAAAGTTGCCACCAGCCTGATTCAGTGTAAGGCAACTTCCTATATTTACAGAGGGGTTGGGAGGAATCGAGGCTTCAAGAAGGGGTGCAGTGATAGCCAAGAAAATAGAGGTATTGGATATTTCCTTCTCCTGTAGTCCTTTGTTTATAGGGTGACTTTATATCAGATGCTATCATTGAAAATAAATATTAAGGTCATTTTTAACACCAATGGAAATAATAATATTTTTCCCTTTAAAAAGCGTATAATGCAGAAAGCAGAGCATTATTCCTCTTGTTGATCAGACAAAGACAAGAGAAGATCTGATACAAACAAAATGATCCACTTTTCCAGAAATGTTAGTCCCGAAAATCTGCACTGAATGTAATCTTAGATGTCGCATATCTGAAATTTAAACCCACCTGCCATTGGATTAGCAATAGAACCAAGTAATCTATTTCACTGATTCAGTGATGATTTTGACTGTGCTCTTAAAGCAAAATGGCAAATGAAAAGATGATGTATCCTACTAGCATTCAGAGCACTTCAATAATATTTTGGCTTTTCAGAATAATTTCTAAATTGCCTTATTCATTTTGATACAAATATTTTTTTTTCTGTAGGTATACTTTCTGTCCTATTTTGGAAGAGTACTCTTCCATATGCTTTGATATAAAATCTCAATGACTCCTTAGAAATATCTCTTGATATATAACTGGAAATTAGTACAGTTTCCTACAGCAAACAACTGTTTAATTACTCTAGATTTAATATGTGTCAATATTATAATTTTTTCAGTTAAGTTTTGGAGAACTGCTTCCCAGTTTCAACAGTGAATTTACTTCTGTCTATGTTGGGGCCCTTCCAGGCAGGCCCTATATCTCAGGATCGGATCCCAGGTTTTCTGCTTTAAACTAGATTATATGAGTCCCCACTGCCAGATAATCTGGGATAAACAAAAAACCTGGGATCAGTTCCTAGGATACAGGACCTGTCTGGAAGACTTGTTCTTGTACATATCTGTCATCTGTCTTCAATGATGGAAGTAACAGACCTGTAAAGGAGGCATCTCTTCTCCAGAGGAAAGGATTGGCCAAAGTATAGACGAGAGGACATAATTTTAGCCACCATTTGTGTATCAAATAGGAAAAGGAGAACCTGGCATAATTGTAAAAAGGAGGATGGAGTTGGTAAGCTGGTAAAAAAACCAATGTATCCTAAGGACACTTATTCACAAACAGCGTGCTAATTTCTGTGGAACATATGTCTAAGTAAACAAATTAAATTTGCTGCCTATGAAATATGAATTCCTGATAGACCCTTCCTGTTCGAACATTACATTCCCATGCAAACCACTTTCTCAGACAATTATTCAACTTGTTCTTTTGAACCCTCAGATTCTATTAACTGAAAGCCCACCAGAAGTCTCAGGACATTTGCCCTGGAGGACTCTTAGAAACAGAGCATGTAAAAGTGATATGCCACTAGTCATGCTGGCTGGGAAATTCTGGGTTTTGTAATATGAAAAGGTAACTTTTACAGCCTCTGTTTGAAAGTAAACAACTGGGTAGAACTTTCAGACCAACCTTGAACTCAATGAGAACCTTACTGAACATACTGCCTGCAAATAATGTTAATATCATTCATTGATATCTCTATGACATTCTATACCTCTCTGGACAATCAATGTTGCTTTGCCTGGGCAGGATACTGTAAATGTGTAAACAATCTATAGAAACCACTTTAGTGATTCCATCATGAGCACAACAGTAGGCACAATTCACCCAAAACTGCAACTGCACCCCCAATTCTTTTGAATTGAACTTGCATGGAGCTGTCACACAAGACTTAAAAAGAAGAACAGGAGTCATACAACTGCAGAGCTTGGTAATCTGTACCAGTAACTTCTATGTCACGCACACACACACGCACACGCACACACACACTGTAGTCCTATAAATACAACATGTATGTATACACATACACAGGAAAAGGGTTACATTCTATTAAAAAGGTAATGCATATTATTAGTTTATCGATAGGCAATATTGGCGATGTATGGGGTTCTTGTCAGACGTTTTCTCTCCCCACCTCCCCTGTTTTCCTGTGACGGTTGTGTGCTGCCAAAGGATCTTCACAAATGGTGGCAGCAGCAATCCCTGGGTGTGTTTATTGCACACGGCGGCAGTAGTAGCCCAACACTTTACATTTCTCACAGAGATGCTGAGGGTGTTCTTTACTTTGATCGGAGACATCCAAGCCATCAGGTTTTTCCAGGGGTCTCTGCATAGGGAAGAGAAGAAGAGATATACATTCTCGTCAGTGTTAATTGTTCGCAGCACTTTTCTTGGTGTGGATGAAACCTGAGCAATATGAAGCTATTTCTAAAATGCCACATTGCATATTTCACAAAGGATGGTTTCCCCATGTAAAGGATTTTTTCAGTAGCCACAACATCTGGCCAGATTTTGGGACCACATGTTTCTTCTCCCTTCCTCTCATTTTTTGTACCACCGAGTTTGAGAAATTCAAATTCTTAATGACATCGCAATGTTGCAATTTATCCTACAAAAGGTAGTACTAAGCTCTATTGTGTTTCAACTTGTTGACCATTCTGCTACTTTTTCAAAATAAAAAATGTTACATATTATTCATAGAATCATAGAATCCTAGAGTTGGAAGAGACCTCGTGGGCCATCCAGTCCAACCCCCTACCTTGAAGCGGGAAAATTGCATCCAAAGCATTCAAAGTTCTTCAGAAAAAGGCAATCACTAGGTACTACCTGAAGACAAGGCTGCTTTGTCTTCTATGTGATTTCTCAAATGATTATACTCTAAAATTACATTTCCATATCATTGCAATCTTAGTTGAGGTACTCTACAAGAGCTCAAAGAAAGTGTGTGATAATTCATTATAGGTGGCATCCAAGGCCACCTCCCAATTACCGTATTTGATCTAATGCTCACCTTCATCTTCAGCTTTGAAGGTAAGCATTAGATTAGAGTAAATAYGGTAATGAAAGATGAAAGATGAAGTATTTTGGCCACATAAKGAGAAGACAGGAAASCTTAGATAAGATAATGATGCTGGAGGAAATGGAAGGAAAAGGGGCCRACCAAGGGCAAGATGGATTGATGGCATCCTTGAAGTGACTGACTTGACCTTGAAGGAGCTGTGGGTGGTGACGGCCAACAGGGAGCTCTGGCATGGGCTGGTCCATGAGGTCATGAAGAGTCGGAAGCAACTGAACTAATGAACAACAACAATGCTCACCTTTTCGACTAAATTACCTTCCCTAAATTAGGGTGTGCATTAGATTCAYRGAATATGATAAAAAAWWTTGGGGTTTCAGGGTTTCAAAAAATTGAGCTGYGCATTAGATTCAATTGTGCATTAGACTCGAGAAAATATGGGTATGTGTATTTCTATACAGTATGGTGAGYCAACATATGTAGTTTTAGGCTCTCTCAGTTCAGGCAACTTATTAATTCCCTTCTGGGCTGAAAAAGTTGAACTGGGACTTTGGCAAGTAGAGTTACCCAAGGACTAGAAACAATCACACAATTGACAAGGTTCCCCATTATCTTCTTTCAAATAAATTAATAAAATGTCGGTTAGATAATAATACTGTTAAGGTGGATTTGTAATTGGTTAAGTGACCAAACCCAAAGGGTACTCATTCATGGGTCCTCTTCATCCTGGAAAGAAGTGACTAGTAGGGAGTCACAGGGTTCTGTCCAGGACCAGTGCTGTTCAACATCTTTATTAATGACTTGGATGAGAGAGCTGGGCAAATGAGAGAGCTGGGCCAAAACTAACAAAATGAATTTCAACAAGGTCAAATGGCAGAAAAAAATTAAAACACAGAGATACAGGATGGGTGACACCTGGCTCCACAGCAATTCATGTGAAAAAGATCTTGGGAGTCTTCATGGACAACAAGTTGAACATGAAGCAACAGTGTGATACAGCAGGTAAAAAAGCCAATGGGATTTTGGGCTGAATCAAAAATATTAGTGTCAAGATCAAAGGGAGTTATTGTACTCATCTATTCTGTTTTGGTCAGATCTCACCTAGAATACTGTATCCAATTCTGGGTACCTGAATTCAAGAGAAATGTTGACAATCTGAAGCATGTCCAGAGGAGAGCAACTAAAATGATCAAAGGTCAGGAGAACATGCACTATGAGGAACGTCTCAAAGAGCTGGGTATGTTTAGCCTGCAGAAGAGAAGGTTCAGGAGACATGATCATCATGTTTAAATATTTGAAAAGCTGTCATAAGGAAGAGGGAAAAGCCTTTTTTTTTTTTACTGCCTAGGGCTAGGACTCAGAGCAATGAGTTCAAATTACAGGAAAGGAGATTCCACTTGAACATTAGAAAGAGCTTCCTGACTGCAAGAGCTGTTCAGCAATGGAAATCTTGGCCTGAGAGTGTGGTGGAAGCTCCTTTCTTGGAGGCTTTTAAACAGAAGCTGGATGGCCATCTATCAGGGGTGCTTCAGTTGCACCCCTGATAGATTTGCATGGCAGGGCGTTGGACTAGATGGCCCATGTGGTCTCTTGGCTGCCGTCCTTATTTTAAACTGCAGCTTTCCTCTTCTTTTCTTACTCTCTTAGTAGCAGCTTAAAAAAATTAAGAATGGACAAAGAATTTTTAAAAAATGTACTGTGGATATGGAAACACATTCAGTTTCACAATTAAAAACAAAAATACAAAAAAGTTTTGTTTGAAAGTGCGCATCATGAGCAAGATGGGGGCAAACATCCATAAGGCATAGTGGAAAGAATTATTTAATAAATATAAGAAGATTATGTACTATGTTTTACGATGCATGAAGAAAAATCATAACCCTACCTGCATGAGTGCCTGAATACCCACATTGGCCTTTATTTGAGAAAATTATGCATTTGATGAAACTTTTCATCGAATTATGCATTCAATGAAACTTTGTGCCTCCATTCACAAAGGGACCCCCCCCCCCACACACACACAAATACATTCTCCAGGCAAATACTTTTTTATTGTGAGGCGAGTGCAGAAGAAAAACTCCAGTATTCGTTGTTTTGCTGAAGGCTTATATGCCAAGGGGTGTATCTACACTTTAAAATTAATGACGTTTGACATAACTACTATGACTCAATGCTGTGTAATCCTGGGGCTTGTAGATTTACAAGTTCTTTGTCTTCTCTGCCCCAAAAGGGCTAGTGCACATCACCAAACTACAACTTCCGCAATTCTATAGAACTGCGCCATGGCAGTCACAGAGGTGTCAAAGTGCATGAATTCTACAGTGTGAATGCCTCCTTTCCCCAGTTTCCCACTCACTTTGATACAATTGTATAGCTACTGCTTCAGGTAAAACAGCCACAGAAGTGTTCTTCAAGGTGGAAAGATAACCTCTCAGGCTACCACCTCAAGGATGAAACAGATGGGCCCTTGTGTTATCCAGTAACGCTGGGGAAATGCTGCTGTGACTCAACACAAGAAAGAAAAGCAGCTGTGATTGTGTTTATTGATATTAACCTGCTTTAAACAAATTAACACAAACACTCGGGAATAATTTTTTCCTGGAAGTAGAGCAAAGGATGTCGGGAATGCCAAGAGTTTCTTGGACCAAAAACAAAATATCTTTCCCTGATCTGTTTTTCCCATGCATTAGTTGAATTCAGTTTTATTGGCATGTGAGCCATTTAGATTTTAGAAATGTTGTTGTTACCAACATGCTATGACACACTCATAGAAGAGACTTTGGAAACGCAAGAAACCAGGTTAAAAGTAAAGGTAGTCCCCTGACATGTCTGACTCTGGGGTGTGGTGCTCATCTCCATTTCTAAGCCGAAGAGCCAGCGTTGTCCGTAGACACCTCCAAGGTCATGTGGCCGGCATGACTGCATGGAGCGCCGTTACCTTCCCTCCGGAGCGGTACCTATTGATCTACTCACATTTGCATGTTTTCGAACTGCTAGGTTGGCAGAAGCTAGGGCTGACAGCGGAAGCTCACGCCGCTCCCCGGAATCGAACCTGTGACCTTTCGATCAACAAGCTCAGCAGCTCAGTGCTTTAACCCACTGCGCCACCGGGGGCTCCGAAACCAGGTTACTTAGGGCCATATAGTGATCACAAAGTAGCACTTAGGCTATCTGCTGCTGGCAAAGTGTACCTATGAGCTCGGCATTCAGAAAGAGCCCATCTGTTTGACTTATCACAGGCTTATACGGTATTTCAATGACATTCACTAACTAGCAAGTAAGCATTTTGTGAAAATTGTGCCTATTCTGGATTCCCAAATCCTTGCTGGAATAGCCAACAAGCATGGTTGATAGTGAGGAATGCTGGGAGTTGTAGTCAAACAAAAACTGAACTGCATTGAGTCTGGGGATTATCTATTCAGAGCAACAGTTCCTAGACTTTCTACTTAAGGCCTTTCATGTCAAGTACACATTGAAAGAGTCAGCGGGTTTTAGTCATGACTTTAAAGGATCTGTTCAGGGTGCTGAACTTACTTGGGGAAATGGTGTTGAATACCTCAGATAGCTGCTTAGAAGCCAGAATAAAACCCATAGTGGATTCAGTGTATCTCTGGATTGGACGCCACTAGCTGTTGCTGCCTGATGATAACACTATCCATATCAGGACATGAACTGAGAATATGCTGGCAGTCAGGACTTATGCAAAACAAACATAATCCAAAATGCAGAACACTTTAGGTATCCCCATTCTTTTTTTGGTTACAATTTATATAATTTGGTTACAATTTATACAATTTGGTTACAATTTATACAATTTGGTTACAATTTATATGGTTACAATTTATACAATTTATACTGCACTGTTTATAGAACTTGATAAAACTGCCTTAAAGTATAGCCATATTGTGCTGATCTTGATCAACAAAGAATGAGATGATGGGAGAAAGTGGAAAAGAAAATATACTGTAAGATTATTTTGAAGAAATTTATGTTTGCGGTTTGTATAGTATAAAATATACTTTATCAAAAGATAGAAATGGGTTGGAAGTGGAAACTAAGACATTTAACTGCATTCTTTTTCAACTTATGTCAAAGCAGACAGAACACAAACACAAACTCCACAAAGTCAGGAAAATGCCCTCTAAAGCTTAGTACCAAGGACAAGTGCCAGCCTGCCCAACGTAAAGACATGTATGCATGCCACTTAAGTAGTTGCCATAGTAGATAGCACAGAAGTGGAAGACTAGCATTTGTTATGCAAATGTATATTCTGACCAATGTTGATTTCACATAAAATTGGCCAGGTGGAA